CTGAGATGTTCTGAGACTTCTGGCCAGGTGCAAAGAGGCCAGCAGCTTCAAAACTGCTTGCATTTATAGTTCACAGCTGTCCCTTCTCCACATTCCAACACCTTAGGACTCACCAGGAAACCTAGAACCCCTTCAGGAAAGCACCCTCTTGGCTTGGAGGGAAATGGTCACCCCACAGGCTCCTGGCGCCTTTGGGAGGCCCCCATTTCCACTCTCCCCTGGGAGCGCTGTCCTAGCCCTGCTGCCTTACACATGGGCTTCAGCTGTCCCAGCAGCTCCTCCCGGGACCACTTCAGCCACTCTCGACGGTCACTGCTGATGGAACAAAAGATGGGGCTGCAGCCCTTTCCACAATCCTCCAGGGCTGGGACGTTCAGGTAGTGCACAAGGACGATGTCAGGGTTCTGAGGGCACAAGGGTACACACACAGAGCACCATGGGGTCCTGAGATCCAGGGGCTCAGCTTCCCAGTCTTCACTTTCTTCCTGGGCACCTCCCCAACCTCACCCCCCGTTTCTGGCTCTCTCTATCCCCACCTCCCTATCTCCCCAGGCTCCTTTTCCCACTCAGAACCTAGTCACTTTTCCCCTGCATCCGTTCAGACCCCATCTCCCTCAAAGAGCCAGGAGGAGTGTGACCCCCTGAGCTCTTCCATCCTTACCTGGAGCAGCCAGTAGCAGCGCCGGTGGAATGTGGGGACGATGGAAGAGTGAACGTAGCAGCCATAGAGACACTGCCAGGAGACAGGCTGGGGTGGGGGGAGGGCTAGTCTGCTCCCCAACTCTTCCTCTGTTCAGTCCCTTTGCAGGAATCCCAATCTTTCCACCAGTTCCTCTTCAACCCTTACCCACCTCCACCTACTCCCCACACCTTTAAAATCCCAGCACCCCAAATCATAGATGAGGGATAGGAGAAGGGAAGAGTGGGACCAGGGCCTTACAGTGAGGACCCCATTTGAGATATGGGCCTATGTAGAAAACAGGGGCAGGGCAAGAACACACCTGAGATGAAGAGCAATGATATGCAGAAAAGAAACCTATGCTTAGAGGTTCAGTACTTGGACCCCCGAGGGAAATGCAAGAGAGGGGAGGGGACTGTGCACCGGTGTCCTCCAGGGGCGGCATGGCCTAAGGCCCAGAGAGTTGGGACATGGAGGGAAATGGGATGTAGAGGGTGCGCTAAGCTGTCAGCCAGCTGATGCAGAGTGAGTGAGAAGGGAGGGCGGTGAGGGGAACGATGGATGGCACACGCCCTGGCAGCGGTGGAACCCAGCTAAGGGCGGAGAAGGATGGGCCTGGGCAGATGAGCCGGATGCCTTGCCTACCTCCATGCCCTGGACCTTCAGCTTCATGTGGTCCTCTCGGGTGGTCTTCCCATCCTTCCGCTTCTTCCAGAGGTAACCATCCTTCCGGTATTTCACCTTCTTGCGGTTGTAGAGGATAATGGAGCCATTCTGTGGCCTGAAGAGGGAAGTGTTGGCCTTGAGTTCTGTGAACAGAACCCAGGACCCCTGCCGCTCGCCATCTTCACAGACTTTCTCACCTTGTCTTTGGGGCACAGGATAGCCACTCATCATGCTTCTCAAAGGTGATCAAGTAGGATGCAATCTCCTGTGGGAGAGGAGGTACTCGGGTGGGTGTCCCCCTCATACCCTTTCCGCCTGGCCTCTGGGTCCCCCCCTCAGCCTCACTCTGCTGAGTTCTGGCAGTTAGTGGAGGACGCTGCCAGGTATCTGGACCCAGCAAGGCCCACTGCCTTCCTTAGAACCCCAGGTTCCAACACCAGCAAGTCTAACCTCTCCTTCCCTCCCTTCCAACTGGGGCTTTTATCTTGGGGTCAGGTCCAAGCTCCTCATCATTCTTTGCTCACACCGCATATTATTTTACTCTCTCCAAATTCCATTTTTGTGCCACTTCCTGACTCAGAAAACTTTAATAGCTTGACACTGCCAGGAATTCCCGATTCCTCAGCCTGACTCTGAGGTTCTCCCTGACCAGGGATCAAACCATCGTTCCTATGTTCACACTATTTACACATATTGCACCCACCATTCCTGCCAGGCTGGTCCATTGATTCTTCCCTGAACTTGCCCTGAGCAGTAACCTCCTCAATGTTGGTGCCCTACAAGCCTGAAGTGTCACGTACACACCTCTTCGAGTCTGGAAATCCTAGCCATCCTATAGACCGAATCCCTTCCCAGGTCTCCATGGAGCCCTGCTGACTCCCCCAGCCCTTCCTGCTTTTACAACTATCACACACACACAGACCTTTTTACTGACGTTGTCTTCTAATCAAATAATTAAACCAACAATGATCAACCACCAAGTACATACAAAGCACTGGGCGTGGGGAGTACAGAAGGTGTGTAACACAGGACCATGCCCTCCAGAAGGAGCTGGCGCCAGTGGTGGTTAGAAGCAGAGGCTCTGGGGTGAGTCAGATAAACTCGTCCATGGCACAGGGATAACAATGCTTGCTCTAAAGCGCTGTGAGGGAACTCACAATGAGATAAATGAGATAATATGGGTCAAGTGCTTAGCACAGCGCCCAGTTCGTAAGAAATACTTTAAAGGTGGTAACCATTATTTTTACTCAGGTGGACAGGCCAAAAAACAAGCTCCTATACGATGCAGGTCTTTATACCTCTCCTATGATCCCCAAAGAGCCCAGAACAGTACTCTGCACTTGAAAGTCTGGACAGGCATATGAAGACGGCCCCCCCCCACCCCCAATCCAACGCCCTCTAGCCCACCAGACCTTGCTAGGCCCTCATCCCCCATGCTCCCCAGTAAACCTCATTTGTATTCCAGCGTAGCCGCTCTGGAGGCAGCAGCGGACAGCGAGGAAGACACTCCAACAGCTTCTTGGGGAGAAAGATCTTCAGGTGGTGGCTGTTCTCTAGGGGGAATTAGATGGGAGGGCTTAGCATGCTAGCCCAGGGGCAAAGGGCTGAATCCAGAGCACTGGGGAAATTGAAACAAGGGGAGCAGGGAATCCAAGAATTACAGTCACCACAGGGCAAGGAGAAAGAATGGTTGTGCCCAAAACGGGAACCTGGATGGTGAACTTACCAGCAACCTCGGTGGTGTCCTTGGTACTCATGGTGAGGGCTCCAGGGGCAAGGTCACCCCGGGCCTGAGGGGCCGGGGGGAGGGGGAGTCTGTGCTGGGAAAAGAGAGAACGAGTCATGGCAGAAGCCCCCACACTTATCCAGAACGAGGAGGATGAGGAAGATGAGGTGGGAGAGGGAGTACAGAACTGGGTCATGGTATCTGGGAAAGATGAGGACGAGGAATAGGATCGGCTCTGACGTGAGAGTAGAGCCAAGGAATGGGGGAGAGGGAAAACCCAGACGTGGTGCCAGGAACGAACGTGAGTGGGGAAACACGACAGAAGAGAGTAATCAGGAAGAATGGGGTGGGGGAGGGGGGAGGCTGGCAGGGCTGGCGTCCTACAGCGTGGGCCCTTGAGGAGGCTGGGGCTTCAGTGGGGTCAGGTCCTGGGGACTGGGACTCAGGGCATCCGGTCCTTGGAGAATAGTTTGGCAAAGGAGAGACTGGATGCTGGGGATTGGGGGTTGGGCAGGAGATCTAAGTCCGAGTGGAGAGCTAGGCCTTAGGAGACACACCCTGAGTCCCTTCTCTATTTGATTTTTCTAAGAGGAAAGACAGATCTGATAACCGATCCTAGCCTCGCTCTCTGGTACAGGCTGGTCAAGGCCTAGTACAACCTGGGCTAGACACCCAGCACCCAGCTTCCTACCCTCAGGACAAACGCAGAGGCTGACAGCCCTCTCCACCCCTTACCCACCTCTCTCCCCACCCTTCCTAAACGCCTTTGCCTCCCCTGGCCTCCAGGCCTACCCTACACCATCTACCACTCTGGCTCCAGCCCGAGCCCCCACCCTCCTGGGGGAACAGATGGAAGCTGGAGGAGGCTCTCAGCGCGGGCTCCGCCAGGTGTCCGAGGATGACGAGAGGGGGAGGCCCCTCCGAGCTCGGCTGCGTGGGCTGGGGTAAGGACTCCGCCCCAGGGCGCAGGTGCGCAGTCCGGGCTAGGCCGCCTGCGAGGGTGCGGAGCCGGCCGGGGGCGGCCCCCCAAGGTGGGGCGGTGGTCCCAGGAAAAGATCGGAGGTGAGAGGGTGCTGCCTCCCGCCCGCAGAGAGGGATGTTCTGGAGAAACTGCGGAGCAGAGTGTGTAGGCGCGCGGCGGGCGAGGGGCAGCAGGGGTGCGGGGGTCCCCCAGGCAGTCCGTCGCGGCAGGTCCGCGGTGGGCCCCGACGCAGAGCGGCGCCCCCTGGCGCGGGGGAGGAGGACGGAAGCGGGACGTGGGGGCGATCCCGAGGAGGAGCGGTGGTCTCCCGAGCGGCGCACCAAGTCTGGGCCGGTGGAGTTGCGCCCCCTGGCGCGGAGGCAAAGAGGCGGGCAAGAGGTCCTGGCTCTTACCTCCCGGGGTCCCGCAGGTGACGGCGGCAGCGGCCATTCTACCCCACACCGACCCCCCCCAGCGCCGGCTGACAGCGGCGTCCCACGTCACTGCGCACGGGGCGGGGCCTTCCAATTAAGGGGAAGGGGGTCGGGAAGAGAACCTGTGCAGCACATGGGAAGACTCCGGGTGGGGCACTGGGGGAGGGACCGGTTGCTACGAAGTCTCTGAGGGCGCAGCGTTACGGAGGGGTAGGCTTCCGGGGCCCTAAGAGACGGAAGCCTGGCCGCCTGACACGACTCTCGAGCTGGGAGAGTGGGGCGCCGGCGGCCGTCCGGTACTGGACGAGGACCGCTGGACTGGTGGGCAGGACTCCTTGAATTTTGGGGACTCAGCCCGACTTCATTGTAGCCGGGTCCTCCCCATGAGCCTCTCCTATCATTGCTCCCGGAGAGAAAGACAACTCTGGGCTCAACGTGTTTGCTTTTTAATGATAGAACTGAGGAAAGAACACTGCCAGGGAGCGACGCCTGGGCGGCAACGGGCCTTGGGGAGTTCCTGTGAGGGGGGGGGGGGTTTGAGCTGGGAGGCCCAGGGGGTCTGTCAGTGCCTAGGGCAGTAGATGGGAGGGGAAGCTGGGGGAGGCCAAGGCAGGGGACGTGCCCTGATGCCAGAAGTAGGGTCAGTCCAGCGATGGGCAGGCGGCTTGGGTCCCTGAAGCAACGCCAGCATGTTGGACGACCGTGGACGGTTTCTCCTTACTCCTCAGACTGCAACTCCATCCCCCTGGGACTGGAAAGGGGGTTCCTACTGGCTGTGACAGTGCTGTAGGGGCGTACGGAACTCAGCTGTCTGGAGAGACAAGATCCCTCCTGGACCAGGGGACTCCAGGGGGACCAGAGCAACTGTAAATATGAGAGAAATTGAAAAAAGAATGAAAGACTAAAAAAGCATGTCTCTCTCCAGATTTCCTAGTGCCCAAACCCAGATACCCCCAAGCCTCTGATTCCCACCTCCTTTATTGTTGTCCCCCTCAAATCCAGCAATTCAACTTGGCCCTTGGCTTCTGCGGTCTCTCGTCGCAAGCCCAGACATTCACATTACCCTCGTCACCCCACCAAGTTCCTCTCCAGCCATACCTGGGCCCTGCCAGGAGGGAGAAAGCGGTCCTCATCCTGGGGATAGGCTGCCCTCCCCTCTTCCAGATCGGCGTGTTCAGTGGTGCTGGGGAACCTGCAGCCCGCTTGGCCAGACACCAGGGGCTCGGGCGCAGCCCCAGAGCTGCCCCACTGGGCCTTCTTTAGTCTGTGGAGGCTTTAGGCTTAGAAAAGAGGTGCCTGGAGGCCAGGCTTCCTGTCTCTTCATTCCTCACCGTTTTGCCCTAAAATACTTCCTGCTGAGACCCAGGGGTATTGTCATTTGACTTTTAACTGTCCACTCCCAACTTTCTACTCCCCTCAAACGGGACTATTTTCAGTTCAAGAACTGAGAGGTGATCTCTAGTTCCCCGCTATCCTCCAGTTCTATGGAGTGCTTTCCTGTCTTCAGTGATCCAGTTCCCACCTCTGCCAGCTCATGTGGCTCACCTCCATCCCTTAGCTCCTTCCTTTCCACATTATGGGAAGTTCTGCTCCAACACCCACTGAGTCCATGATTTCTTTCCAACCTCCCTCCAATTCCTTCAAAACTCTCCACCCCTTCTTCAGTTCAAACCATTCTGCCTCCAAACCCTGCTTGGCTCCCAGAGCCCAGATGTCTCTTCTTACTCATTGATGATTCTCTGTCTCCTCTTTAGGTCCTCTAGGTGGTCAGTGACAGCCCTTACCCGGGCTGGGATGCTCCCAGGCCCCTGATGCATTCCCGTCAAATATGGCTGCCTTCTCTTTCTTCTGCAAAGCATCTCAGGAGGTGGGAGGCCCTCAAGGGGGTACACGCCAGGCTGGGAACAACCAGTAGCTCTTTGTGAGAGAGAATGGGGGAAAGATGGCTACAGCAGGACTCTCAGGGAAACATGGATTGAAATAAGGAGCCAGGGGTCTTGGGAAGCCCAGATCACAAAAACAGCTGTGATCTGGAAAACATGCTAATTGATTCATAGAAAGGAAGTCCTGTTCAGTGCTTTGGTTGGGGGACAGTAGATGGAAGGGGTAATAAGGAGAGTTGGAGATAGGATGGCAGCGGGTGCGATTTTAACTAAGTGTTGAAGGGCAGAAAGTGTGTCATACCAGCAGGGGTGGGATGTACCGTTCTTCCATCCAGGTGGGGCTGTGAAGCACAAAAAGGGGGTTAAGTGTGGAGAGGACACTCCATCCATGTTGTTTCTCTAACGACCTCTCCCAACCACCTATCTATCTGGCATGAGGAGCTACAATGACCAGGAGCCAGTGGGGCAGCTATCCCCAGACCAGTGCATATTGCTATGAAGCTTTATGGTTGTTTAAAATTGTATAGCTTCACCCTCCCATCTCCACTCAGCCCCCATTTTCTCCATTTCTACCCACCTGGACCTTTGACAAAGGTTCTCCCAGAAGATGTCTCCGTAACGCTGGGGCATCAGTCTGAGGCTCTGGGGAGGCACACTGGGGGGTGGAGATCGGCTGACTACCCTGGAACACCTGAGGTGAAAACAAGGTAGGCCAGGGCCTGGCTGTCTCCTTACAGCATCTACTCACCCTAGAGATTCAGAGGCCTTGTCTTACCATGAGGCCATACATCTGCCCAGGCTCTTTCAGCCCATGTCCTCGATCCATTTTAGCTGAGGAAGGCGGTAAAGCGTCTGACTTGAAAGGATAGCGGAGCTGGGATGAGGGTGGAGACTGGCAACTGTGTGAGTCTCAGATCTCACTGAAATCTCAGGCTTCTACACCCCACAACCAGAAAACATATTTGGCAAGCAGGGCTGTTAAGGAGGAAGGCCCCAGCTGCTCAGGTGATGATAAACAAAAGGTTCCTCTTGGTTAATGCAAGGACCCAGGGGCACAGAACCTCAGTTTACTCCTGTTTTGTCTTCCCTGCCTCAGAAAGACTAACGTCCTTGTAGGCAGTGAGGGATGCGCAGAGCTGTGTGAGAACAGGGCTCATCAATCCCAAAGCCCACAAACTGGATGACGACTGCCCTCCTGCTCTCTAGAAGGGGAGTGTCCTAGGACTTAGGTAGGCCTCAGCCCTTAATCTTTTCCATCTCTCCTTAGGAGATCTCACCCAGGCCCACGACTTTGTTTTTCACCCCATAACTTTAAATACCACCAACGTGCTGATGACTCCGAAATCCATATTCCGAGCCCTGACTCCCCTCCTGGACTCCGACTGCCCGCTCATTATCTCCTCCTTAGCCTTCCCCGTCTCACTGAAAGGAACCCCAAATGCCCAGTTGCTAGAGCCAAAAACCTGGTATGCCTTACTTTCCCTCACCTCCCACATCCAATCTATCAGCAAGTTCTAACAATTCTACAGCTAAAAATATACCCAAGTTTGACCACTCCTCCTCATTTCCACTCCCACCACCATATTCCAGCTCACCTTCCCCTGCCTGGACTATTGCAGTGGCCTCCTCCTCCTCTCCCTGCTCTGTCTAAATCCCCTACAAACTATTCTTCACAGCAGTGTGAGTAATCTTTTAAAAATAATCATGTAAATTGATATACAGTTTGAGATTTACTTCTAAATAATCTGAGTAGTAGGAGGCTGGATGGGTGCACAGATAAAAAGGTTATCCATATAATGACAATTATTGAAGCTGACTGAAAAGGGTACACTAGGTTCATGATTACTACTTTCTCTATTGCTGTATTTATTTGAACTTTTCCATAATAAAAAGGCTGGAGGAATAAAAAAAAAAAGTCTGCTAATGCAATTCCCTGGCTTAAAAACTTACACTGATTTCTACTGTCCTTAGAATAAAAATCCAATCCTTTTCAATGGCCTATCAGGTCCTCTGCCTAATTGTCTGACTTTACACTCCATATTTCCCTTGATCTCTAAGTTTCAGCTACACTGGCCTGCTTCCTGGTTCTAGAAGATGCCAGGCCCGTTTCTTTCTTGAGGCATTTTAAAAACTAGTATTCCTTCTTCTCCCTCCTGGTTCTTATCAGACCAGTCCCTTCTCATTTTTCTGATCTCAATTCAAACTCACCTCCCTGGAACAGTCTTCCACAATCACCCTATCTAAACTTCTGTCTCTGTGACATTCCATTTTTCCATTATATTACACTCCTGAGTTAGTTTCCGCCCCCCCCCCATGGTACCTATCACTAGTTGAAATTATATTTATTTGCATATTCTGTCTCCTTCTTCTAGAATGTAAGCTCTTTGAGCAGGACCCTGTCTTTCTAATTGCTGAACCCCGGTGCCTAATACAGTGCTTAGAACAATGTAGTGTTCAAAAACTATTTGTTGACTAAATTAATGAGTCATCAATCCCCTGAGCCCAGGCATTGAGCTTCATGTTCCTTACTTCCGACTCTTTTCAGGAAAGAACCCAGGCATGCAATCTTCTCTCCATCCCGTCCCCATTCTCCCCACGAGGTGGGGACGACTCACTTGGCAAAGGGGATAAGGTTGTCTCCATCTTCATGTACCTGCATGAGTAGACTGGGCTGGGTGGCTGGACTGAGTCTCTTCATTGGTGCTAGGAGGATAATGAAAAAGAAATCATTCAATCATGTAATGGCTGTAGGGATGAGACCAATGTCATATCTAGAGATTGGAAGGAGAATATATGGGTCCTAAAAAAGGAAAGAGAGCTTCAAAGGTATTTCTAGTGCTGGATATTTTTCTCTTTTTTTAAAGGCGTTATTATTTATTTATTTTTGGAGAGAGGGGAAGGGAGGGAGACAGAGAGGGAGAGAAGCATGGATCTGTTGCACACGCCCCACCAGGGATCTGGCTCATAACCCAGGCATGTGCCCTGACTGGGAATTGAACCAGCGACCTTTCAGTTCGGAGGATGTTGCTCAATCCACTGAGTCACACCAGCCAGGGCTGGGCATTTCTATTAGCTGAATAGACTGGTTAAAGATGGAGAGGCCAGGAAATGTGGATGTGGTAAAAGATTAAGGGGGAAAATAAAATTTCTGAAGCCAAATGTATAGAGTAAATGGAATTTACAGATGGCACTTAGGTGACTGACTTGGCAATACGAGCTGATGAAATGAAAAAGGGTGACAGGTGGAAACTAGATATGACAGAGGTTTTTGTGGGTTGTGGTATACAATTGGCGATTGAGGCAGTTAGAGAACTGAGGGTTGGTAAAATAAAATCAGGTATGAGGGGTGAATGAAAGTTATGGGTGGACAGAGCAGCAGATTGGTGACAGGAAAGGAGGGGGCAGGTGAGAATGTCTATAGGTGAAGAAGGGGAGCAAAGTCAGTTGCACAGAGCCAGAATTAGGGGAAGCCAAACATAAGCTGAGAGCCAGCTGGGGTGGGCAGAAAAAGCAGCTAAGAATGCTAGTTGGGAGCATGCCTGTCGGAAGCATAAATAAGAGAAAAGGCCAGTTGGAAACTTTAAGAGCAACTCAGGATGGGCTGAGAAAAGAGGTGAGGTTAAAAAAAGGGAGGGGAGCACCTAGGGCTGAGGTTGGGATGAAACGACAGGAGGGGTCTAAATAGGACGTCCTGGGGCAGAGGGGCTGAGCTGAACTCAGGGGGCAGTTGGCACTTGAGGGGCATTCAGACCTCACGTAGTTGGGTCTAAATGGGTGACCTAGATCTCAGAGGAAGGATGGAGGTTAAGGAAGCTAGACCAACTACTCAGCAGTTGGCGGTAGCGGGTAGCCAAGCCTTAGGGGGCAATGGGAGTCTGACAGGGCAGATGAGGGGTCAGCCTGGGCTAGGGGTGGTGGGGCCGGGGCGGTAGCCCTGTCTGGAGGAAAGGGCCAGGCCTGAGTGTGTGGCTTCTCCTGAGCGGGGTAAGGGGACCCTTGACAGGTAGACTGGGCGCGTAGCCAGGCCTTGAGGAGCAGCCAAGCCGGAGGACAAAGCTGGGCGTCTGAGGAGGGAAGGTGGCCTGAGAGGATAGTCTGGGCCCTGTGGGGGCCAGGCTGGGTCGGGAGGGTGGGGCCTGGGCCTGAGGCGGAGGCCCGGGCCTGCCAGGACTGCCCAGCTTGAGGGCCTGGCAGGGACACAGCGCCCGGGTGGCTGAGCCGCCGCTGACCGCACTTGGCCACAGCACCTGAGGCAGCTGCGCCGCGAATTCTAGAACGCTAGGCCGGGCGGGGAAGAGAAGCAAGGCGGTGACTGGACCGAGGGAGGAGCCGACCGGCACAGCGCGCCAGGAGGCGGGGCCTGCGCGAGCCTCCTCCTCCTGGGCGGGTCAAGGCGAGCAGCTCCACCCCGTGAGCGCGCCTCCGACGGCGGCAACGTGCGCGGGTCCGCGGCCTGGGTGCCTCTACAAGGTCCTCCCCCACCTTTCCGCGCTCCTCAGGCGCCAATAACCCTTCCGAATCCCAGTGTACAGCTCGTCCTTCTGCGCTCGCCCCCTGGCTCCCCGTGCCCGCCCGGTGGGCCCTGCGGTTCCCAGGGCACTGCCCCTTTAACAGTCCAAGTCACTACGGGCTCGTCTCGGGATGGCGCGCGCGCGCGCGCGCTCCCGCGCCCATCTGTTCCCCGCCCCTCGCTCCCGCCCGAGCTCGCGCTGCCCGGGCGGGCGCCGGCCGCTGGCGCCGCTGCTGCAGCCGCCCGCGGGGCGTGAGTCCGCCGCCCGCCGCCCCGGGATCCGGCGAGGGGCGGGGGCACCCCCGAAACGGCCCCGGATTACCCTCGTTCTCGTCTCACGCTTCCCGGGAAGTTTGTCTCTTTGCACTGTGCCGAGTCGCTCCGGGAGCCCTGCCGCATCGAAGTGAGAGCTGGGGGAGGGGGGTGAGGGAGGGGACGCCCGCGGAGGAATGTGTCGGGCTAGGGGGCGGGGAGCCGGGGTCCTAGTTTGCACGGCTCCGCGGGGGCCGGCTGGCCGCGAGAACCCAGATCATGTGCTGTTTGTCCCGCGGAGGCGCAGAGAGGTGCCAGGCCCGGGACAGCCGTCGGTTGGCTGGACAGGAGGACAGGGTCCTCACGGCCTCCCAGGAAGGCCGGGACCCGGGCCTCTGTGAGAACTGCCAGTAGGCAAGGTCCAGGTGGCCCAAGGCCCCTGTTGGGGTGGGTCGGTCCCTCCCCAGCCGCGGCTTCTCCCGGTACCCCACTGCTCCATTACGCTGTGTCGGCCGACCCCTATTCCTATTCTCTAGTCCTTTACCCCGCTATCCCCAGCTGTGCCACCCCATTCCCTGCCCCATTAGCGTCACCGGCGTCACCATTGCGTGTCCCCACCAGTGTCCCTATGTCCTGTGGTCAGGGTCCGGGGGTCAGGGCTGTTCTTCCTGAGAAAGCCTCCAATTTCAGCTACTCCCTTCCTGTCCTAGGACAAACCAGACCTCTCACTCCGCGCCCCCACCCCCAAGGCCGGAGAGGTGAGACCCAACCAACATGACAGGAGTTTGGGATCCTTTAGAACTTAAGAAAGGGCCCCAGCATCCCCGATCTCTCTCCACAACTCTCCACCCTGTGCCCGTGGGCGTGGGCTGCTCAGCCTCTCCTCCCAGGGTGTGGGCACCCGATCACCCACATTCCTGGGCTCCAGCCTGGCACCTTCCCCAGAGCAGTGGACGCCGCCATAGCATTAGCCTCAGGCTGGGGCCGGGTACTGCCTGCTTCCTTTTCCCTTTTCCGGGAGACAGACCCTAAAGTTACTCTCCCTTCCCCACAAAGACAGGTATTCTGGCTTCCTCCCCCGAAGAGCCCTGGGGTTGAGGGATGCAGGATGAACCCCACCCTCCCCTGCCCATTGTCCTGGATCCTGCAGAGGAAGTGCTGGGGGCTGGGCCAGGGGTTTGGGGCCACAGGCAAATCCCAGTCCTAGTCTTTACCTCCAGCCCTTGGACTTTGCCCATCGGCAGTTCCTACCTCTGTGTGGAGGTTGTGGACCCTGGGTGGGAGCTGGTTGCTACTTCTCCCTGGTTGACCCTGTGGGGAAATTTTAGGGCAGGTTTTATGTTTGGGATCTCCTCGCCTCTTGTTTCTCTTCTGGGCTCCCAGTTTGTGCTTTTTGGAGATCTCACTGTCTGTTCTCCATTTCTGTGTTTGCTAGCCTTTCTGTGTCTCCTTCCTTTCTCTCCCTTTATTTCCTTCATAGCATGACCTCGATCTTGCCTTCTCTCTTGTGTCTCTTGTTTTGGTGTCTGACTTTCTGCCCCTCCTCTTCCCCCTTCCCGCCACCCTCAGTGTCTCTGTCCATGTGTCCCTTTCTCTGAATTGCCCTCTGTCCAGCCTCTCCTCTATCTGACGTTCAGTACACTTGTGAGTGACGAGGAATAAAAATATCACCATCTCTGCCCTTGGATTCACATTGCATTCGGCCACTCCAGAGGGAGAGCCATCCTTACTTTTTCTAACATTGCCCCCCACCCCATGTCCTCTAGTCATGCAACCCCAAACACACCTCTGGAGCCACAGGTGCCTCCTAACCACTCTTCCCCCACAACCAGGGTATCCCCCACAGCCCCAGCTGCCGTGGCCAGGCCCCAAGCATAGGATGGGGCTCTCTCTACGAGGGCCGGTGGCAGCCAGAACTGATACAGCCCTCCTGGTCTGGGGCCAGGACGACAGGTAACTCTGCGAGCTGGGATATGACTAGGCAGAGAGGCAGAAGCACCTTTGGGAGTCCCTGAGGAGAGTCACATTTGGGAGGAGGGCCAGGGAAGTAGGAACTGGGTTCTTGAGTGGTTGGGTAGCTGAGGAGGGGGGATGGAGAGACTGGTTTCTTGGAGAAGCTGGGAGGTAATGTCTGGGTCCCCCCCCCCCAGCTGTTCTAACCACCTCTTCTGTCTCTGTTCTTTAGCTGAGGAGGGTGGGAGTATCTGGAGCCATGACTGGTGCCTCCGTGAAAGTGGCAGTGAGGGTTCGGCCCTTCAATGCCCGTGAGACCAGCCAAGATGCCAAGTGTGTGGTCAGCATGCAGGGCAGCACCACCTGTGAGTGAGTCCCAGGAGCCTGTCTGGGCACAGGCGGGGTGGGCCAGGCCCACCACGCTGGCTAGTTCTGCTGGGTCGAACCAGGAGCAGGGCTCTGCCCAGCACAGAGCAGGTGCTGCTTGTGAGGGTGGGGGTTGGGGCAGCCTGGCCTTTCCATGCTCCCAGTCCCTGGGAGGGGGAATGTTGGCCTGGAGCCCTCCATTGCCCAATCCAAGGAGGCAGTCTGGTGGGGGCGGGCCCTCGGAAGCCAAAATTAGCTTTGGTGCGGGAGGGGTAGGGAGTATTAAAGGGGAGAGATGAACTAGGACAGAGGAGGGGAGTAGTAGGATACCTGGATTTTGGGGGCTTGTGGGGAGTGGGCAGAGGTGGGGAGTACCTGACCTTGACCTTCCCTTGCCCTTTTCCGCCCCCTCAGCCATCATCAATCCCAAACAGAGCAAGGATGGCCCCAAAAGCTTCACCTTCGACTACTCTTACTGGTCACACACTTCGGTGAGGTTGTTGGGCTGAGGAAGAGCTAAACTATGAGGGACGGGGATTTAGGTCCCAGGGAGGGGGCATTGCAGGGAAATAGCACCTCTGGGAGATCGGTTGGGATTGAGGTGGAGAGGACCCTTAGGTTGTGGCTGAGTCCAGGAGGAGGGAGGAAGAATCTCGTGGGATAATTAGGACCAGCAGGAGATTGGATAGGACCCTTAGGGATGATTCGGACTGTGATGGGGGTGGGTAAGCCCACAAGACCTTTGGGCTCTCATTAGCGATGGGGGCAAGGCTCCTGGGATCTAGACACTAAGGACAAAGTCATTTAGGGCTCTTGCTGTCTTTCTCTGTTCCCTTCTACCTAGGCTGAGGACCCCCAGTTTGCATCTCAGCAACAGGTATATCGGGACATTGGAGAAGAGATGCTGCTCCACGCCTTTGAAGGCTACAACGTGTGCATCTTTGCCTATGGGCAGACTGGGGCTGGGAAATCCTACACCATGATGGGGCGGCAGGAGCCAGGGCAGCAGGGCATTGTGCCCCAGGTACGTGTTGGGACCTGAGAAGGCAGCCAGGAGCATGTTCAGCTGCCCCTAGGGGGCCTAAGGATTACGGAGCAGAGAGCTGGCTCCCTTAGTGACAGGGAATGTGATGGGGACAGGGGTTGCCTGCAACCTGTACATCTAGGATCCCCACCAAAAGCAAAAAGGCTCAGCAAGGAGAGCCAAATCTGTGGCATTGGAGAGCCTTGCTTTGAACCCTGGCTCTCCTGCTTACTACTTACCTTGTCATGTAGTCACTTGTGAGTATAGTTCCCCTATAGGCTGGTGTACCGTAGCCAAGGTGGTAACTGTAGAAAAGCGAGGTGTGGGTAACTGAGAGTTGGCCGTAATTCTCCCTGGCTGTGTGGTGTAGTGACCTTGCACACAGGTTCTGGAGTTAGGGCACCTGGGTTTGCTTCCTGGCTCACCGAATACTAGCTTGTGACCTTGGGTGAGCGTGAACCTCTCTGAGATTGCTTTCTCATCTGTAAAACGGGAACAACCCCTCCCTCAGGGCTGAGTTAGGGCTCAACAGGGCCTGGGCTGGTGTTGGGTGCCGCAGGTGCACTGTGAACAGCAGCTTTCCTGTGTTCTCTCCAGCTCTGCGAGGACCTCTTTTCTCGTGTTAGTAAGAACCAGAGTGCTCAGCTCTCCTATTCTGTGGAGGTAAGCCCAGGGTATGTGGGCGGTGGGGAGGGGAAGAGGCGAGTGATTAAGACCAAGGGCAGCCTGGCTGGTGTGGCTCAGTGGCTTGAGTGCCAGCCTGTGAACCAAAGGTCGCGGGTTTGATCCCGTCAGGGCACATGCCTGGCTTGCAGGCCAGGTCGCTAGCTAGGGGCGTGAGAGAGACAACCAGTCAACGTTTCTCTCCCTCTCTTTCTTCTTCCCTTCTTTTCTCTCTGAAAATAAATAAAGTCTTTAAAAAAACCCCCAAAAACCCATAGGCAGTCTCTGAGTCAGACAGCCTGGGATTCCTTGCTCTGCCAGCTTTGAGCAACTGTTTCATCTCCCAGCTTCTGAATATGTTCATCTGTGAAATGCTAATAGTGGGGTCAGTGAGCACATGCAAAATGCTTAGCCCCATGCCTGGTGTCAGGTAAATGCTGAGTGAAATCACCTGTTTCATTCTCAGTGGCATGTAGGGTAAGTTTCTTAGTCAGTATTTTGTTCTTTGTTACTTTTTTTTTCTTTTTTGCTGAATTTATTGGGGTGACACTGGTAAATACAATTATGTAGGTTTCAGGGGTACATCATCTGCATATAGTATTGTGTGTCCACCACCCAAGTCAGGCCTCTTTCTATCACTATTTACTCCCCTTTACCCTCTTCTACCTGCCTCTACCCCCTTTCCCTCTGGTAATCACCATATTGTTGTAGCTTGTTCTTATTTGCTTCTCCCACTAAGGTGAGCTATATGGAGATCTATTGTGAGCGGGTACGAGACCTCCTGAACCCCAAGAGTCGGGGCGCTCTACGGGTCCGGGAGCACCCCATCCTGGGCCCCTACGTGCAGGACTTGTCTAAATTGGCCGTGACCTCCTACGCAGACATTGCCGACCTCATGGACTGTGGGAATAAGGCGAGGTGAGGTGGGCGGGTGGAGTGGAGGGAAAGGGAGCCAGACGTAGGAAGGTGAGAGGCAAGATCCAGTGACCACTGCCTTGCCCCCAGGACTGTGGCTGCCACCAACATGAATGAGACAAGCAGCCGTTCTCACGCCGTCTTCACCATTGTCTTCACACAGCGCTCCCATGACCAGCTCACTGGGCTGGACTCGGAGAAGGTGCGGCCCCCTCTGACCCTGCCTAGTAACGGGGACAGCGATGTTGTGACATGGCTTTGTGTTCTCTTCCCCGCCCATG